AAGATAGATACATAGATGATAGAGATAAGAGAGATAGAGATAGATATGATAGGTAGAAATAGATAGATGATAGATAAGAGATATGATAGATGATATAGAGAAGATATAGAGATAGATAGATGATAGAGGTAGGTAGACAGAAAGAGGATAGACAATGACAGATAAAGAGTGGATGGGTGGGTGGGTGGATATAGATGGATAGATAGATGAGAGAGAGAGACACTTCAAAGCGTCTTGTGTTTTCCTGCCCAGGTCTGGGCACGGGTTTCAACAAGCAGACAGCTGTTCGATCACATGGATTCTTGGACTGCCAAATTCAGAAATGTGAGTTTTGCTTTTGGTCTCGGGTGCGTCTGTGTGTGTGTGTGTGTGTCTGTTCAAATGTGACACAGCCCTGGAAATCCCCTTCTGAGGTTGGAGCTTAGGGAAGGGGGGAACTCAGGCTAAATAGGGGCCATTGGACCCGACGTGCCCCTGGTCCACTCCTTACAACCGGCCCCCTTCGTGAAACATAGCAACCTAGAAAAGCATCCAGAACGTGTCGCCCTTCTAACTTCTGTTGTCCTTTCCCCCCGCCCTCCTCCCACCTCTCAAATCTTTTTGAATCCCACAGTGGGTCAACGAGACGATTTTGGTGCCGCTGGTTCAAGAGATGGACTCCGTAAGCACTCAGCTGCGGAGAATGGGGTGTCCAGAGCTACAGATTGGAGGTACGGTGACTCTGCGGGGAAAAAAAAAAACCCAAAAACTTTGGTCCGTAATCATGTGCTCCAACTAAAATATATGGATTAAAATTGTAATTTACTCTGCTTCCTCGGAAACACAACCCACCCTGAAAGTAAGTCCTAGCATGATTATTTTTTTATACATGTACCCAATTATAAGCCTTACCCCCCAAAATAAGCCCTAATTAAGATCCCTCCCACTCCAGAGTGGATGGGTACAAATTAAGCTGGGGTGGAGATGCCCTACTACTTCCCTTTGGACAGTTATAGCCAGGCCTCACAGACCCCGACACCTGCCTCGCCGGCCCATTTCTTCTGCAGCCGGCAAGGCTTTCCCGAAGGCCTCTGGAGCTGAGAACAAAGCTCTGGATCGATCCTGAAGGCTGCAGAGGCCTTCAGAAAAGCCTTGCCGGCCGCAGAAGAAGTAGTTCCTGAAGGCCTCGGACAGCAAAAAGGAGACTGGGAGCGACGCACACAAGTGAGAGATTAGTCAGTGGATGACATTCCCCCCAAAATAAGACCTGGTGCCTTTTCTTTGTGGCAAAAAAAAAATATAAGACAGGGTCTTATTTTGGGGGAAACATAATATTTTTAAAAACGAGCTTAGAACGTAGCAGCGTTCTAGAGAAAAGGGCTTTTCCTAGCTTGGAAGCCTCTGAAGTTGTCAATTCTGTAGCGGGGGGAAAAACATATGATGATAGAATGTTTTATACAGTTCCATTAATGGAAGATGGATGGACTTCAACTCCCAGAATTCCTCAGCCAGCAAGGCTGCTTTTTAAACCGGCGCTTCTCCATCTTGCTGGGTGGGAGGTGGATAGACTGTAAACTCCCAGAATTCCCTAGGCAGCCAGCTGTCTTTTAAATGCAGATGGACTGCTGAATCTTGTCCTGTTGGTACCCTTTTCTTTTTTTTTCCCCAAGAGGCAACTGGACTTTCTGGTTTTTCTTTTGAAGACGTTTCCCTCCTCCTCCAAGAAGCTTCTTCAGCTTCTGACTGGAAGGTGGAGAATGGAAGGGTTTATATTCCTTTTGAGACCGCTGGTCATTTGCATCCTTTTAGTGAGCCGTTGAGGCCGCTTGGAGGCTTACCTGTGTCCTCAGAGTCACGCGAGTGGGGCAAAGGGTTCCTCTATTCTGCCATTTTTCGGAAATGACCAGCGGTTTGCAATTTGGGACGGACACCCTTTGAACGGCACGGGGGGAGGAATGGATGTCCAGAGAAGAAAAATTGCAGCCCACAAGGAACCGTTTGCACCACTCAGGGGTGACCCTGAGGACGCCGAGGAACCTCCAAGCGGCCTCAACGACCCTCTAAATGGAAACAAATGACCAGTTTTGTCTGCGAGGAATATCCTTCCGTTCCCCACCATCCAGTCCGGAGCCAGAGAAGCTTCTTGGAGGAGAAGCGAAACGTCTTCAAAAGGAAAAAAAACAAACAGAAAATCCAATTGCCTTTTTGGGGGTGGAAAAAGAGGCACCTTTGAGACAACCGTAACCTGGTGGGGTGGGAATTCCCACAGACTTTTAGGCCTCTTGAACGTTTTGCGCGGCAGAATCAAGAACTCTCAGTCGCAGCTACTTGCTCTTCCCACGTGTGAGGTTGTCGCGTGAGCAAAGGGAAGTCCTCCACTGTTACCGAGACCCGAAACCGGGGGACTTTCTGGATGATGACGAAGGTAATAGTTTCTCTGTGTGTGTGTGTGCGTGCGTGCGTGTGTGTTTATTTTTCATTTTTGCAGAGGCCAGCCTGAGCAGCTTGAAGCAAGCAGCTTTGGTGAAAGGACCCCTTATTCCTACCCTCAACACCATAGTGCAATACTTGGACCTGACCCCAAACCAGGAATATTTAGTCGAGAGGATCAAAGGTGAATTATTTCTCTCCTGCCTTTAATTGTTGGTCTCTGAATCGTTCAAGTCAGCGAACGTAACCGAATAGCCCCCAGCAGTCATCCTGTTTTCCTCACAGCGACAGCCCTGTGAGGCGGGTTGGGCTGAGAGAGAGAGAGAGAGAGCGATAGGCCCAAAGTCACCCAGCCGGCTTTCATACCTAAGGCAGGACTAGAACTCACCGTCTCCTGGTGATTGGCCCAAAGCCACCCAGCCAGCTTTCATGCCTAAAGCAGGACTAGAACTCACTGTCTCCTGGGTATTGGCCCAAAGTCACCCAAATGGCGTTGATGCTTAAGATGGAACTAGAACTCACCGTCTCCTGGTGATTGTCTCAAAGTCACCCAGCTGGCTTTTGTGGCTAGGGTGGGACTAGAACTCCCTGTCTCCTGGTGATTGGCCCAAAGTCACCCAGCCAGCTTTCATGCCTAAGGCAGGACTGGAACTCACCGTCTCCTGGTGATTGGCCCAAAGTCACCCAGCCAGCTTTCATGCCTAAGGCGGGACTAGAACTCCCAGTCCTACAGATATACGATGAATACATAAATCTCTTTCCCAATTGCTGCCGTAACCCGAGGACTACCTGTAGTAGAACTGACAGTGAAACAAATGAAAAAGAGCTGGAAAAAAAAATTATTTCCCCCACGTTGGCCCTTCACAGTATTGTTTTTTTTTTTTTGCTAACCGACAGAGCTTTCCCAAGGTGGGTGCATGAGTTCGTTCCGGTGGAACCGGGGAGGAGACTTCAAAGCACGCACCTGGGATACCGATTTACCCACAGACTCCGGAGTAAGTTCACCACCTGGTCCAAAGCCGCCTTAAGTCAGTCAAAGCAGGTGCATCCGATTCGTTGTCCCTTTTTCTGTTCCCCGCAAGTCGGCTTGCAGAGTTATTTGTATCCTGTCTTTATTATTTTTACAAATAACTTACAAGACAGTGAATATATACAACATGTCTTCCTCCTCCTGCGTTCCTCCACAACAACAACCCTGTGAGGTGGGCTGGGCTGAAAGAGAGAACGATTGGTCCAAAGTCACCCAGCCAAATTTTCATGCCTAAGGTGGAACTAGAACTCACCGTCTCCTGGTGATTGG